GATAAGATTTTACTGTGTTAAAAACATCCTTCTGCACTGGAAGTAAAACTTCAATGAGAATAATAACAGAGATTCATGTATGGGATGGGTTTGTGGGTGCTCAAAAGAGGGGAGAAAGGACAACAGAAAGAATCTCCTTCCTATAGTGTGAGGGTTAGAATAACAGTAGTTGGGATCTGTGTCCTATTTCCTTTTCTGAATCCTGGAGGTGGCATCTTGCAGGACCCCTGGCCCATGTGGTATGCCACCACCTACAAAGAGAGGCCCCATGGGTGACAGTGTTACAGAGTTCCCCATAGTCTCAAGGTAGTTTAGCAGAGCATGATGACCTTTCACAAGGCTGCAGAAGGAGGTAGAATTTAGGCAAGAAAGAGTTGGCCACTTGAGGAAGCCATAAAATACAAATTAAACAGTTATCAAAACAAATGTATCTGACACCCCAGATGAGACATGGAACTGGATTTCAACATGTAATCATGAAGGGTTGACAGTGACCACACACATGAGAAATACACACACGCAAGCATGGGTGGGCACTGCAAACGCAGCAGGCACAGTTCTCAGCACTTGGCTTTGATGCTATTTGTGTTAGTTGGCTTTTTGCCACCATGACAAAAATGACTGAGTTAAACTATTTAAAAGTAGAAAATATTGATTTTGGCTCAGTTGAAGAGGCTCTAGTCTGTGCTCATTCGGCTCTGTTTCTTTGGGGCTTACACATAGCAGAACACGTGGCAGAAAGAAGACAGCAGGGCAGAGCTAGTCACCTCACCCCAGCTGAAAAGCAGGAAGAAAGACAGAAGAGAAAGAGAGAGAGAGAGAGAGAGAGAGAGAGAGAGAGAGAGAAGTATCCAGCTACCTCAGTGCACACACCTAGTCACCCAAGGTCCTTTCACTAGGCCCTGTCTTTTAAATATATTATACCTCCTAATAGCAGCAGAAGCAGAAAGAGAACTTGGACATGGGTGTCTTTGGAGGAGGGTGTCTTCTGTTGTATAATGAGATGCCTGATGTAAACAACTGAGAAGGAACAGTTTGGGCTCACAGTTTCACAAGCTCCACTCAATGGTGATATGAAGGACATAGCAGACAGAGCATCTCAGATCATGCAGCCAGGAAATAGAGAGTATTTCTATCTAAAGTACTAAGCCTCTCCTCCTTCTCTTTTATTCCATGTGGATTTAGAGATTAATGTCATATATGATGCATATGGTTGGCCAACATTTCCTCCCATTTTGTAGGCTACCTCTTCGCTATTGACTTTTTTGCCGCACAGAAACGTTTTTAATTTTGTGAATTCCCATTTGTCAGGTCTTAAGGTTATTTGTACTACTGAAGTCATTTCAGAAAATCCTTGGCTATGTTTATGTCCTGAAGTGTCTGACTTGTGCTCTCCTCTGTCAAGTCTTTGAATTATTTTAATTTGCTTTTGTGTACCGAGTGAGGGAGAGGAATCTGGTTTCATTCCTCTATACATGGGAAACCAGCTCTCCCATCACAACTTACTGTCTTTTTAAGTTGTCTTTTCTCCAATGTCTTTGACGCCTTTGTTGAAAATTGGGTGATTCTAGCTGTGTGGATCATTACAAGTTCCTCACTCCTGGTCCACTGCTCCGCATGTAGTGTTTCTTTGCTTGCCAGAGCCTTTTCTTTTCTCCCATTGTATAGTCTGAGATGAGGAATTGTGATTCCTCGAGCATCACTCTTTCTGCTTAAGATAACTCAGGCTTTGGGAGGCCTTTTGTGCTTCCGCATAAATTGTAGGATTATTGTTTTTCCAATTTTATGAAAAAGGCCTTTGAGATTTTGAAGGAGATTCCATTGAGCCAGTACAATATATTCAGTAACGAAACTGTTCTTATATTAATTCTGCCAATCCCAAGCATGGGAAGTCTTTCTATCTTCTAATGTCTGCCTTGTTTTGTTTTTGGATTTTCTCCCACACCGCCCCCCCTCTTTTTTTTCAAGTCAGGGTTTCTCTGTGTAACAGTCCTAGCTGTCCTGGAACTTGCTTTGTTCCAGGCTGGCCTCTAAATCTCAGAGATCCACCTATGACTGCCTCCTGAGTGCTGGGCTGAAGGTGTGTGCCACCCTGCCCAGCTAAAGTTTTAACACAGAATATCCCACTACAGAGATCATTGTTCAACCATATCCATTGCTACTCCATTTAGCAGCCAAAAGAAAAAAAAAAAAAAAAAAAAAAAAAAAAAAAAAAAAAAAAAACAAGGAATCAGCCTACATGTCCATGGAATGAATGAAAACATGACACATATACAGAACTGAAAACACATATACAGTTTTATTCAGGTGAAAACAAAAACAAAATTATAAAATTTGCATATCAGCACCACTCTCAGCCTTGGTTAGGGAAGCTTCTGTTTGCAGCAGAGACCAATGAGTGTAAATGAATTGTCCTCCGCATCTCAGGAAGAACTGCTGGAGTGCAGCTGGGAAGAATAAGCTCTGTAAAAGCTTGACTACAACTGTATTGTAGTCTCTTGTTCCTTCTACATATTTTATCATTTAAATTACCATATACTTTTATGTTGTGATAGCTGCCTCCTTACACTTAGCTGTGACCCATCACTAGACAGAGGACATACTGTTCTGCAGCCTCAGGGCCCAGTTCAAATGCCAGGTCCACAATGAAGCTTTCTCAGGTGACTTCCCCTGTGTTTCTGTCTGTGGAGGGGTCACACAAAACAATGCTGGCCAATAGGTAACTGTGACCATGAGATAAAGAGAAGGGGGGAGCATCAAATAAATCTTGATGTGTGGAATGATTACCTGTGATTTCTATTTGCACTAGTATATACTCTGTGCTTAACACATATAATCCACAGCAAATGAACAAGCATAGAATAAAATGCATAGGTTAAAGCAAGTCCTGGTGAACATGAGGACAACATGAGAACACTTATGGAGTAACCACTAAAGATTCAGGAGATAAAATTAAGAGACTTCAAGAAAAATTTGTCCTTAAAATAAACAAGGACATTTGGCCTAAAGAAGCACGTGTATTTTGAAACTGTATTTAATCCACAGTGCTTGCATAAACTGTTTAAAAGGCTAATTAATACCAACATATTTAATAGTAGCCTACCAGGACTAATAAAATTCATCATAGTACATGAACAATCAAGGTATCAAAACCATGTGTTAAATAATAAATAACTAAGATAAAATAAAACATCCAATTTGTTGTTATCTACAAAAAGAGCAGTGAGTGAGTGAATATGAACTCATATTGTAATTTTATCATGTTCATTTTAGAACAAGAATCCTACTAGAATTAAACATGTGCTGTAAGAGAAACAAAAAAGTAGAGATGAACAATAACTTAATGTTTTCTTTAATTATTCTTATTATGTGAGGTCACACATGATCCCAAGATCATAAATAGAAAAGGGGAACGTCAATTGAGAAAATGCCTCCATAAGATCAGGCTTTAGGAAATTCTGTAGGGCGTTTTCTTAATTAAAAATTGATGAGGAAGGGCCCATCCCATTGTGGGTGGTGCCACCCCTGGACTGATGGTCCTGTCTTCTATGAGAAAAAGGAGTCTGAGCAAGTTATGATGACCATAACAGTAAGAAGCCTCTGGCATTTGTATCAGTTCCTACCTTTAGGTTCCCACCCAGTCTGAGTTCCTGCATTGGCTTCTCTCAATAGATTGTGACTATGTAAGCCAAATAAACCCTTTCTTCGAAAAGTTGCTTTTGGTCATGGTGTTTCATCGCAGCAATACTAACCCCAACTAAGTCAGACAGCCTGATAGGACCATACTGTTCACTGTCATAAGGTCAATACCATTCTAAAACCTGCTGCTTAGTAAGTTCTTACTCTGAGAAACATTTACCATATGAATGAGTAAATAAAATTCATGTACTCTGCACTACAGGAATTGTTCAACATATAAAGGGCTTGCCACACAATTGTCAAGACCTGTGTTCAGATCCCCAGAATGTTTGTAGATCTGGATGCAGTAAGTAGCACATGCCTGTGATCCCAGTGGTCCCATGTTGAGATAGAACCCTTGGAAGCTGGCATATACAGTGAGGAACAACAAAAAGATCTGATAAAAGGCGAAAACTGACACCTGAGGTTGTCCTTGACCACACTGTGGCATGCATGTGAAACAGAAACTCACACACATACCCTACTATGTCCTCATTAGAGGTCAAGACATTGAACATCAAGTAGTTTTCTCAGATCCCTTCACACATAGTGAATCTTTTGTCCTCCGTTCAATCAAACTGAAGTGTTTCTGGAAAATATATACACTTGATAATCAAGACACTCATCAACACCAAAAGTACAGTTACAGAGGAGGGATATTTGAATAGGCATTGTAACTTAATTGTGCTAGTTAATTCATATTCTTATATTTGACAACGTATGCTACTCCACATAGCTGTTGTTTGTCTAATCAATACAGCAGATGGCTAATATTCATTTCGAGTACTTTATTAAGAACAAGGCTCCAAACAACAACAAAACAATAGTGCTCCTAAACTGAGCATGCTGGTATATACCTATGATCCAAGGGGGGCAAATGCAACAGGATCAGAAGTTTAAGATAATTAGATGCTAGTTGGGCTACACACAGTGATGCTGTGTAGGGCACAGTAAGCCATGCCTGTTAGAGGCTGGCTACAGGTGAGCCTGACTACACCTGTCAGGGCGTGGTCAAGGTGAGGTCAGGATGATGAGTGAGGGGTTCTTAAGGGACGGCAAAGTACATGGGAGCCCCTTTTCTCTCTGGCCTCCCTGCCTTGCTGCTACTGGCATAATCTGGCTTGCGTTTGGCTGGTGTTTTTCTAATAAAGGATATCTTTATCCCAAGCTATTAAAGGGGAATTGTAGGGGACAGTAAGGCATACCTGTAGCCAGCCTGTAACAGGCGTGGCTTACTGTCTCCTATAATGCTGTGTCAACTAAAAAAAATCTTTAAAAGGGAGGAAAAGGGATGGAAGAAAGGAAGAATGGGAAGGAAAATGGCAAAGGAAGGGAGGGAAGAAGAGAGAAGGAGAGGGTACAGAAAGGAAGAAAGGAAAGGAGGGAGGGTTGAGAAAAAGAGAGAAAGGGAGAAAGAGAGAAGGGTGGAGGGAAGGAAGGGAAGGTTCTAGAAATACACTGGATGTGTCCAGAACCCCAGTACGCAGCACATTGAGATGAAAATTTCCAGTAACTATTATTTTTAATCCACATGGGAATCCTGCCTTCAATTCCTCACTACCTAGATCCAGCTTCATGAGCACAAGACCCGTCACGTCCTCAGTCACTTAAGAGCACTGCCCACTACAAAAGTCTTCACTTTTCCAGTTCCACAAGTTCAGAGACTGTGAGGCAAAGGGCGGTTCACATTTAGAGGATAGGCTATTTCTTCTACCTGACTATAGTCTTGCCCACCCATTTATGTTCTGACTTCAGCCTCCGAAGGCTAGGGAGTAAACACGAGGAGTCATAAATCCCTCAAACTGCCTCTTTGTACTAGATAAGAATTAAGTTATATAGTTCTGTGCATTAGTTTCCTATCCTAAATCATAATTTTAAAATGACAGAATAACTTCTGAGTAGTATGAATTATAAGCTTCCAAATATCTTAGATAGCTGCCCTTTGCATACTTCATGATATAATTTATTCTGTCCTAAATAAACATAGATTGGAAGCTCAATGAATAACCTTCCCCTATCTTTACATAACTTATCCTGCTATATAGCATACAGAAGAGGAAAACATTAGAGGAATCCTGGATCATAATACATTTAAACTCTACAAACTATAATTCAACAGCCAGAAAAGCAATGCTCTAAGCCTATTCTTTACTAAAGTACTGGGGGAAATAGTTTAATCTTATGGCAGGTCTGCTCAGGTCATTTCATTCGTTTTCCTAATACATTACAACTTTTAAAAGTGAGTTCTATGCTAGAAAAGCTTTTGACTCCACATATCATATTTTGTAATCAAAATGATATGTGATGTGTTTTCTTACCATTGTGGAGAACAAGTCCAATCAACTTAACCTGTTGTAACCCACACATAATTATTAAGCATGTGGCCTAAGGCAGCAGCTGTGGACATGTTAAAAGGTTGTGAGGTCTCTTTGTTCCTACAATGAGATGATAATACTGTGCAGAAGATGCTGACAGACGTGAAGCTGTCACAATTGTAAAGTGATACAGTTGCCACAAGGTCATGTGATTAACCGTGGAGAATTACCGCCAACTTCTTGACACTTCATTGTCTTTAACATTTAAGTTCCTTTCCACATACTCCGAAAATCCAGTCATCACTCCAGAAGCATAGAACAACTGGTGATGTCTCTCCAAATTTCCATATGGTTCAGTTTTCTGTGTCAGTGCTTTCACCAGTCATAGGATATCATCTCCCTGCTACAGTTTCACACATGGAATCATCCCACTAAAAGAGCTTCTGCCCTTGGTCTTCGCAACTTTGTTCCCATCTGGCCACACCAGAGTCCTTTACATCACAACTGAACCCGGGAGACTGTGGGTTGTGCTTTTACTAGGGATTCAGTATAGGCTATGCACAAGAGGTCTACAAGATAGGACAGCCATTCGTTTAGAACTGAATTCTTATATTCTTGGACTGACTGCAGGGCAGTGGCTAATCATTGTCCACAGTTCTGCTTTTTTCCAGACCCTTTTTATCTCTTCGGCTCTTCCAGTACCTCCAATTTCTCCTACATAGGACTCAGATAATCTCTGTTTCAACATTTTATAATAGTTTTGAAGACCAACTTCACGTTCTTATTTTATTAGCTGTTCAAGAGTCACCATTATGCCAAAGAGCCCATCAAGTTATGTCTCTACAAAAGACAGTCTTCACTTCTTACAAGAGAATGTCACCTCCCCAGTGTGGGAAAGTGACTCAAGTCTCCTGCCCTGCAGACATTTCTAGAGGATGCTTTTGCTGAGCAAGTGAGTCAGCAGAATGGGCTTTCTGCTGGACTTGTCAATCAGCCTGCAAGGAAGAAAACGGAAATTGGGCAGATCAAAGGATTGTTCATAGTTGAGCAAAATGAAAACAGATGTGAACTCATCTCTAGGTACTGGACTAGAAGAAACAAGAGCTGAGACATGGAATTATGACTGATTCACATGCACAAGAGACAGCAAAATTACTTAACTAGAATTGACACTGAGAGGATAAAAAGAGCTGAGATGTGGTAAAATGGAAATTTCATGCAAATTTTTAGCAGAGGTGTGTGATAGTGGATATATTATAATATGTGTTGTGTGTGGGGGGTGGCAATCTGGTGATAAAACAAACATGCTTATTGAAAACCATCCTGAAGGAAAAGAAACCAGTGAACATACTACGGCAATAATTTTGATGAAGCATTGAAGGAATGCTCTGTCCTGGTGGTAATGGAAGAGAGGAAAGTAGTAGAAGTGGAGAAATAAAGCAGAAAAGCCAGCAGGCCTGGAGTCCAGGCTACTGAACAGCAACACCACCCCACATACAGATAGTGAGGAGCTGATACAGGAGACTGGAGATGACCCATGGGCCTGCTCTACACTATGAGGGCATACCAGGAGCCATGATTAGTGCCAACCTACCTTAGCTCAGCCTCTCAAAATATCCCTGAGTGCCTCTAGGATCACCATGTACTAATACATTTGGAAAATATTAAATATCTAATTTTAACATTGATAGTAATATTTTGTTGTTAACTTTAATATTCTTATTAATGATACAATAACAGTATTTCAGAATTTTTCATTGCTTTATGTAACAAAAGTAATAGATAGTTAAAAGGAATAAAAGGTACCCAGTGACACATGCTTGTAATCCCAACACTTAGCAGATGGAGGCAGAAAAATCGTGAATTCAAGACAAGGCAAAAAGGAATATAATATGAGAAATACTCAATGTTCCATTAAAATATACCCTGAAAGCATTCTCTAACTGAGTGTACTATCTCTACTTCTGTTTTCTTTTTTTTCCCCTTTGAAATAGGTCTCACTATGTAGTCCTCTACAGTGAAATTCCCAGTCCTTTCGGAAGCTGAGGAAGGATGTCCTATCTTCTCACTTTACATTGACCCAAGACCCACACAGTATCTCTCCTCCCAGTTTTTGAATGGGTGTTTTTCTTTGTGCCACTTAGGGTAGTCAAGAATCAGGAAAATGTAACAAAATACATTATTTGAAATGAAATACTAGATAAGTTTCCCTAGATTTCATTTATGGTCTTTAGTAACTCTAGCCTTGGAAAACAGCAGATCCTATAGGGAGCATTCCTTTATAAACTATTTTCTGTCTGTAAATAATGATGCATTTCTGGACAGGAAAGTATGGCTCACCATTATCTTCTTAGGGTTAGAAACACAGCAAACAATAAAATTTAAGCTGCTACAGGCTGTAACGGTTTTAAAGCATGGTAGCTTAGCCTCACTTTTTTCTAGTCTTGCTCTGACAACATTTGTAGCCCTTATTTTCAAATAGTTGTGTATACCTTCGATTCTCCCCAGGGACATCAGCTAAGTGGGAAGAAGGAATGAACTGGCACAGGAAAGGAACCTGGATTTTTTGAAATGAGATGGAAAGAACATTTGACAATGACAAGTATGTTGATCTTGGGAAGGTCATATAACCTATCTACGCTTTCAAGTTTCCTTCTCATTTAGCCAAACAATTACTTATGCAGAACATGAGAAACAAATCAAAGCAGAGGTGGTGCGTCTAAGCAGGAAGTGAAAAGGACTGTCTTCATGGTAGGCAAGTCATCTGCCCATCGCAGAAAGCTGTCATTCCACCCAGGAATCACAAACAGTGGCTTCATGTTGCACTTTTGAAAATGGATTCCTACTGACTCAGGAACAAAAGTAAATAGTGTACACTTTTAACTATTTAAACACCCAGAAATGCTCAGAAGTTATTTTAAATGATAAATAAGGAGTAAATTGCTTTGGGATTTAACATTAGAAAACAGGGGAAATAATCATAGGAGGTTCTCCAGGGTGCCCATGCACGCTTCAATAATGAAGAGCCAGGGAAGCCATGCTATGTCTCCTTTTCCCCTAAGTATCTTGTCCTCTCCCCTCTCCTCACTCCCTTCCCCATCCTCATTTATTTTATTTTTAATTATGTGGATGTGGGATATATGCTCATCAGTGCAAGGTATCTCCCTAGAACTAAAGTCACATATAGTTTGAGCTGCTTGCTGTGGATCATTGGAAACAAATTCAGGTCCTTTGCAGGAGCTATATGTGATCTTCACCACTCAGCCATCTCTCCAGTCCCTCCTCCCCACCAACCCACCCACCTTCTCTTTAAAGACCTTGTGATTGACCTTTGAACAAGTCAGTGCTTCCCATGGGTTGTGGAGGACGCCCATCTTAGGACATTCTCGAGACAGGGAAGACCATGAAGAGGAAAAACAAGCAATTATAGATCAGACATTACAGTTCCTACATTTGGTGGACAACAACAAAAAAATGATGACAGAGAAAATCCTCAAAATTTGGAAGAAATCTACTGACCTCTGCACTTGAAAATGGATGCTAGTTGGTTATTCACATATCCTTATATTTTTGGTTGTAAGCTTAGCCTTTAACGGCTGAGCCATCTCTCCAGCCCTATTCATACATCCTAAAAGGAAGTTAAATTAGGTCTTATATTTTGTTTTATATAACAAAAGTTATAAATGTTTAAAAGAATTTTAAACATTCTTCTGTCTCTACTGTCTCCCTCTCCCTTTCTCCCCCATCCCCCTCCCCCTTCACCCCTCTCACCTTCTTGCCTTTTCCCCCTCTCCCCCTCCACCTGTTATAATATGGAAGGAGGTGAAGGCAAATGGTGAGGAAAAGCTGGCAGTCTGTGGCGGATGATAAGGCAATGGATGGGAAACAGAGACCTGGAGACATGGCTTATATGGGAAGATTTATTGAGGGGGAGGTAAGGAAATAAGGGAAGGAATGAAAAAACAAGTAAAGAGACACAGAGACAGAGACAGAGACAGAGACAGAGACAGAGACGGACAGAAGCAGAGACAGAGGGGGACAGACAGCCTCTTCAGAGAGAGAGGACAGAAGAGAAGGGAAAAGAGTGGGTGGAGTTTTTCTTTTAAAGGGTCCTTTGCACCCATGTGCAGGCGGTGTAGTGACTGAGCAGCCATAGAACCCTGGGCTGACCAGGGTACTGCCTGAGTTTATTCTTCCAGGTGACAAGGAGCAGGCCAGCAATGCTCTCAAGTAGGCCCTCCAATATTTATTCATTATATCCCTATAGCTTCATATACAGTTAACTGCAGCTCAAACCATTTTATTACTATTTTCTGTGTACAAAAGAATCAATATCTTTTTTCCCCAAGAGTGAAGTGGTAAGTTTTACTGGACAACCTTGTACAGACTCTTGCTAGACAGGGTAGTAATGCCTGCAATTAGCAGCCAAGTCTGGATTATGTAAATGGAGTTTTTAATTGATCTAAATAACAAAAGTTCAGAGTCTGATATAAAGGAAAACTCTGAGAGATCAGAGAGAAGGAGCAAACCACAGCCACACCTTACCTCTTTCGTGTCTCAGCAGACAAGAGAGGGAGTTCTTGTTTCTCTCTTCATGTTTCCACCTAGCTATCTCACTTCCTATCTGTCTGTACAGACCTCCAGACGTCTATGGTTTAGCTAGTGGCAAGCTCCATTCTCTGACCCCCAGGCAGGCTTTATTTGTGCAAGCAAGATATCACCACAGAATTATGGACTGAGTTTGGGGAACATAGGTTTAGCTCAATGGTAGGATACTTACCTGGCAGGCACAGCCCTGGCTTTAATGCCCAAATCACAAAGAAACAAAGAAACAATCACACTGATTATGAGGCCAACCTAAGCTGTATAGAGAAACCTGACCTTAAAAAACAAGCAAAATACCTAGCTGGCTTTTGTGAACCGCTTCCCATGCTGGATTACCTCACCCAGCCTTTTTGCAGGGGCGGGAGCGAGCTTGGTTCTACCTCAACTTGATGTGCTATGCCTGCCCGTTTCTGAAAGGAAACTGGGGAGGGGGCATAGATGGGAATTGGAGGAGGGGAATGGGAGGAGAAGGGGGAGGGGAAACTGTAGTTGGTATGTGAAATAAAGGAAAAATATTAATTAAATTAAAAAAATAAGCAAAATGAAATAAAGAAAGCTTCAAAAAAGTAAGTAATGTTCAAGTCATATACTATAATGAATAAATTGGTTAATGTCAATTTCATGAGAGTGGAATAATTTAAAAGTCAGAATGGAAATACAAATGCTATTTTAACCATCTTCTACCATGAGGCAAGGGTCAAATGGGGTTCTTTGTTAATATTCACTTAGTAATCATAAATTTTCTTCATGTATAAATTTTGGCAGGTGAAATTTGAACATGTCTGTTCTCTGAAGTAGTATCACCGAAGATTTAATGATACATGAGAAAAGCATTCTGAAGACAAACAATACCCACTTGGCAGCTCAGCCAAACATCAACTGTGAGGGCTTGTTCTTCTTGCAGAGGCCTGTGTTTGGTGTCCAACACTCACATGGCAGTCCACAACTGCCTGTAACTCCAGTTCCAGAGCCTCCTATGCGAAGGAGTATATTGTTGAGAAGACAATATACTGTGTCAAAAGACTTGTAAAAATAAAGTTGCTTTTAGCTTGTAAGCCATCAGGAAGTTGCTCTGGTCTTGAATGTACCCTGTTAGTTTACTGCCTCAGCTACTCTTACAAGATAATAGGTCACAAGATTTATGGACTAACTGCTAAGTTCTGCCTTCATATGCAATGCTTGCTCACTTGCATGACTGAGGCATCTACTGTGCATCTGTTACAACCAAGTTTTGCCTGCACCTAGACAAAATATGAGTTAATTTGGCTCCCCAAATTATAACTTTGTGGTTTTTGCCTTTAGTCAGACTTAACAGTTATTGAGGGCAGACTTCTCTTTCATATTCAACTTTGGACCTCACTTCTGTGTCACTGGTAAGATGCTCTCATTC